TTTTCAATTGAATATATTTATATTGACAAATTATATTAAGAAATAATAATTTTCAACACAATCACATAATTGTTGGTATTTGTATTATTGAAAAATTATTGGTATATCTTAAAATCCCTTTAACATAAATGCAAACGAACCTTTTGTGACACATATTATAAGTTTTGGTACCTCAACTCTAAAACGGTCAAATAGATAACATGTAATCTAATCTTATATTTTATCTTTGTCCTTCATGCAAAGAAATGCAGGTACCTACTATCAAAGTTTATTAGTTTACTCTGACAAAGCTGTCCACTGTAAAGGTGAAACTAATGGATTAAACTGTACAAAGATCCTTTTGCATCCCTTTTTTAGTGATTAAATTAGTGTTTTCTTTATTTAGACCGTTAGATAACTGATAGGTAAAATCCTTTTTTTGGCTGTTAAGACAGCCTCAAAGTATTTTGAAAATTAAGTTCCCTCAAAATAGCCGTCTGTTCTTTCCCTTCACTGCACTTGTGACTGGAAACTTTTGCTAATTGTGATTTCTCGAAAAAATGTTTCTCATTCTGGCAGTTCCAGAAATGCAGATAGTCGTGTATTAGCTTGTTTATCCTAAAAAGCTTCATACTTTGGGGGGGGAAAAAACAAAGTTAAACAGGAATAACTGCAACCTTGAAGGAAGTACACAAACTTATCGTCTAAGGGTTGCAGGGGGAGCAACAAGCACATTTTTGTTTGATACATTTAAGTTTAGCTGCAAAGATGGAAACAATAAGTTGATCATAATGATTGTTCAGAGGAAAGCAGATGAATAAAGCCGCTTTGAAAATGATCATTTAGAAATACTCCCAGTGCTCTTCCTGCTTCCTTTCACTCCAGTTTTCCTGTTTTGTTCCTCGTTTCTTGTCTATCAGTGGAACGTTTTCCCCCGCCCCAATTTATGCTACCAAATTTTAATTTTACTTCTGATTGTTCTTTCTCACTTTTAACACATTAAAATCCTAATATTTCTATTTCACATGTTATCATCAACTGACTCTAATGCCGTGTTGTGGGTCATGTTAATTCAAATGTATGCGTTTTTAATCTTCTCACTACGTTTAATCTAAATTACTTAAACCAGAGATATAGATCTGGCTTTTTTTTTTCCAGTTCTAAAGGTTATGTGATTAATTTATCTAAAAAATAACTAATATTTATTTCTCTTTTATTTTGTTAATACTTTTATAATGTGATCATTCTCAATATACAACCGTCCGTTTTTAAACTCTCCTGTGGGGTCCTTTGCTTTTAAGTTTGACAGCATGAAAAGTATTTACATCTCTCTTAAACAGCTCATTACTTAACAATTGACTAAATAACCAAATAACTGCGGGCAGTTATTTACGTATTAAATAAGGTAAAAACTTAAGAGCGTGTTAATTCCCCAAAGATATATTTATGATTTAGATAAGTACATCTCATCTATGTGAATCGCATACGCACCTTTTCACCATACACGTAATCTACATTTCATGAGATTCACATTTCACAGTGAGAGGCAGCAGAAGCCAGAGGATAGCAAACATAGCACAGGAGCCGCTGGCTCACCACATACATCATCGCCTCTAGTCAGGTGGACTTAAGGACAGGCGCCTTTCTGCCAAAATAAACATCCAGCCTCATCAGTGCTGTAACTATAACTTTGCTACAGGCCTCTGAGCAAACAGTCTCTCAGCGGGACCATGTTGTGCAGCTGGTGAGAGCGTGAGGGGGTTTTGGATGTAAAATGGAAGACATCCTAGTTATAGCGGCGGACAGAGTGTTGACGTTTTCCTCGGGCTGGTTGAATTAGTCGAGCTTACCTTACGGCTTAAGAGGAGGAGGGTACGAATGGCGAGCCATTCCACTTACCGCTCATTTTCAGCGCAGCGTTGCAGATGCTACCTATGGCCTTGCGCTGTCCTGCCTGCGTAACAAAGTTTCCGTTAAATTCAATTAAACTCAGTCACGAAACTGAATGATGCAAACTCTGAGTGGGTTCGCCAAGCCACTCAGCTCTTTCCAATCACAGGTCAGCTGTCTGAAAGCAAGTTTCAGGGGAAACGTGTGTCTCTCTTCAGCTCCACAAGCATGTGCATCTGATTACTTTGCTGAGCTGATTCTGATAAGACCTTAAAGTTTAAAGAAGGAGTGTAAAATCACACGCAGCTCTTATTCCACCTCCCGGCACCATGGTAACAACATGGTGAAGTCCGGTAGGGTGATGTGCAGTGAGACCTGTCCGCTGGGATGCTCTGCCCCCTTGTGATAGAAAATCTCAGGAAGCATATGACATTAATACCATTATGCTGTTTTTTTGTTTTGTTTTGTTTTTTTCTCTCACAGTGATGCTATATTGCAGACAGGACATTAAGAAGCTGAAGAACTGGTTTGAAAAAGAGCCCATTTTTTCAAGGGTTGCATAACATATTTTAAAATGGACAAAATATAAACTGAAATGGGTTCTTTAAATTTAAATATAATCTTTAATAGAGTGTTTCAAACAGGAAAAAAAAAAAAAAAAAATATATATATATATATATATATATATATATATATATATATATATATATATATATATATATATATATATGGTTTTCCCATCATGTGTTATACTGTGTGTAGCAGTCATATGTTTGGAGCAACATGAGTTTTAATAGTTTGCTGGAACATAAAGGTGTGGGTTAACCCAATGTCTACAAAACATATGTTTTTTATTTCTATTTTCTTTTTTATTTCAGTCACTCTTTAGATATTTTTAAATTTATTTATTATAAGTTCACTCTACCATAAATGCAACCCTAGGCTTTAAGAAAACACTTTTTTTTCAACTAGAGAAGTCTTTTTGGTCTAACTCTGTCCTGGTAACTTGCATTATCTAAAATGTGGTGGAGTATTTACAACCCAGTTGCTTTTGGTTAGACCAGTGGTGTTAACACGTCGTGTGAAGGTTGACAAAAAGGCCTAAAAATAAAACTACAACCGGAAATAACAGTCCAATTTTAATGTGTGAGTAACTACGTAAATGACGCAAACCATTGTGGTTAAAGTTGTTTATTTTCCTGTGACCAATCGAAATATTTATAAACTTGGTGGCCTATGATGCTTGATATGGTCTTTCTGCAAACTGTCACCATCAGTGAGCAATCAAGGGTTTGATGGGTGAGCTAAAAAAAAGGAGGCAAGGAAAGTATCACCCATTTCTCAGTGCCATCGCCAAGGGGCGACATATTCATCCACAATCTGTCCCTTCTCCTCCGGCGTTGTCCTGTACTAGTCCCGGCGTCAGCGACGTCACCAAGCGGACCCGCGATAAAGCTGTAGGAAAACTGCAACGTCAAACCGGAAATTAAAAGTTTGTTCTTTCAACGTAAGAGCTCGACACCCCAATTTCACTGCAAAGTAAAAAAAAAAAAGATAAATAAAAATAAAGACAAAGGAGAAAGTACAATCAAGAAAAGAAGATAGGTATTAAAATGATGAAAAGACAATGAAATTATTTACATTGCAAATAGTCATAAAGTTTTTTGTGTGAAGGTAAATGTTGAGCAACTGACCACAAAAGTATTTTAAATCCGCACCACTTTCAGTTAAGTTAAATCTGATTGTATATTAAGTCAGATCTGGATGATTTTTTTAAGTAGACATGTTTGAATATACAAATACCCTAAATGTAACTTTTTGATCTTAAACACTCACCAGGTACTTAAATTTCCTTTCTCTCCATTATGATTTGAACTTGAAACAAGTTGCTCTCACCACATGCCTACATGCACCGAGTTTCTGCCATCCGATTATCTGATTCAATTTAATGTTAACAAGTAACAGGAGTACCTAAAAAGTGGCCAATTAATGTTCATTGCTGATTTGGCATAACTTTATGACTATTGTCCTGTTAATGTGCTGGTTCCCATTTTGATGCCAAAACAGTGCTAACTTCTCAACACATGGACCTTACCTGACCCTCAAAGGTGTATGATGAGGTTTGTGCTAATGTGTTACCAACAGATAAAGTCATGTTGCAGATCGGACTTGTCTGCCCAATAATGTAACAGACCTTCAACTGGACTGAAATAGAGAGTGAGCTGAAGACCGACATCGCCCACAAGGGATGATCTGACAAAATCATCATGCTTTTATAATTTGTCTTCGTCAAACTAGCTCAAATCTTTATGCTTGCCCATTTTTCTGCTTTAACAGCACTTACAGACAAATAATATTCTACCTGTTAACATGTGTGATAATGAAGACATAATCAGCTTTATTCAATTTACTTATCAGTGTAACAGCGGCCTTCAATTCTAGTCCCCAAGGGCCGGTGTCTGGTAACTTTTAAATGTGTTCCTGGTTCAAAACATCTTTCTCAGATGACTGAATTACTTCCTCAGTATGGAGTCAATTTCTCCAGATTCCTGCTCAAATCCAGATCATTTGACTTATGTGTTGAAGGAGAAACACGTCTACAAGTTGCAGGAAATTGGCCATCAAGGCCCAGAGTTGAAGACCCTTGTTTGTCTAATTGGTGTAAAAAACCTCAATCTTTTTCCAGTCAGTGCGAAACAATGCAGTGGTAAGAAGATATTCTTCATTTACTGTCCATTTTAGTTAAAATATTTACTATTGCCATTTTCAGTGAAACCAGTAGCAGCCGTGCCTGCCGTAAATATTTTTTAATTATCTGAAGATAATGGGTTAATTACCTTATGATAGTAAAAGTTGTTTTCTCATGAAAATGGAATAATCAAATCTTTTATTTTTTTTTATTTGGGAGAATGAATGTTTACTTGTAATAACGGAATTATCGACTCAATATTTCAGGGTGAGAAAAGTTCCTCATAATCACCTGATAACTATCTTAGGACAGCAAAAGTCCTTTCGAATGAGTGCCTACAGTAGGGTATCTCTTTTTGCAGTTCATTTATTAATTTAAACGGATGGCCAGTAAACATAACTTTCCTGTTTTGTTTTATTGTGAAGCGTCAGACCGGAAGTGCGCAGTTCGCCCTAGCTAACTTGAAAAACGTGCTCGAGGTGGAGGCAGTCAGCCTGCGAAGGAAAAACAAGCGAGGACAGGTCGGGCACTACATGCCCAGCCCGTGTTTTAAAAGAAGGAAAATTAGTTAAAGTGGAGGATATGTGGATGTGAGTGGGGTTTTCGTCACTTTCACGCGGGCTCAGTTACTTATTGTTTGGCTCTCGGGCTGTGGCTGTGGCGTGTTGAGCGTGTCGCTGTTTGCCCATTCTCACTGGAGTGAACACTAAGGTAAGAGCCTGCAAACCTTACAAATGAACTGTGTTAAGTTGGTGGGGCTGAACCGGTTACTTTGGACGCTTTTGTATCTTTATGGTTTAGTTTGATCCGTCTTTGAGGAGACTGGAAACTGTAGTAAAAGTTGGGACAAAGACGGCGGCTTACTGGTGTCACTTTCACGCTTTGACGCCTGCTCTTTGTCCACTCAGATGTGGTTTAACCACACATCGAGCTCAAACCTCAATTCGTCCCTGATTTATCTCTTTTCTGCTTCATGTCTACTTTTCTTTAACGTTTAAAGCAAAATCAAAAGGCTTACGTTCATCTACATCATAATTTCCCCATCTTTTTGTTCGGGGCCACTTAATAAAGGCCTGCGATCGAGGGCTACAATCCACAAACAGGTCTTGAGAAATCTCCATGTAGTGAGACATCTGCTTTTTATTTGTAACGTTCATCACATTTATTGTCTGTAATAAATCCAGACGGACGTTTTCTCATTCATTCAATCATAATGCGCCCTGTTGTGTGGTGGATCTCCTGTTGAAGCCGCAACAGCTTACACAATGACCCGCACTTGCCAAAACACTGGAGATTGGCGACTGGTGCCACATGCCTAGCTTTATCAATGGTTCTAGTGGCTTTCATTGGGAACTGCACCATCCATCCCTCTAATTACAAATGTTTCCAATAATTTTAGGAGTTGTACTCCAAAACAAACGAGATTATCTGGACTGGCATTGAAGTAACTATCAGTTGATGCCAAGATCAGGTGTGCAGGTTTAAAATATCCCTCTGAAAGAAAGTGGTAAGAAATAGCAAAAATAAATGCCTAATTTAAAGATAACATGCCTTTATTTAGCCAGTTGATCACGTTACTTTTTCTAGAGTATATTATTATCCATCTTGGTAGAAATTGGACAGCATTTAAGAATGTGCTTACACTTTAAGTCAGTTGATCTTGAGAATAAAATAATACAACAACACCCTCAGAGGAACATTATATTTGGTATCCCATAATTTCCTGCATCACATATAAAATGTAAGGTATTATCTGGTCGTCGGTTCTCATGATGGAGTGCATCGTTAAACCTGTTGGACCATGCACTTGCTGTAAATGATTGTTGAATTTAGTGCCTTTTTTTAACCTAGGAATGATTTGTGAGGCTTTAATGTGTCAAGTTTTATTCATTAATTACAGAAAACAGAGATCCCTCTAAAAACGTCTGTTTAATTGTATATTTTGCAGTTAATTTCTAGCCATGTGATTTGTTGCTGTGAGCTAACATTAGCAATGACAGTCTTGGTTCAGAGTCAAAATAAGTAAATCTGTATCTGTGGCCATTTAAGTTGATCTTTTTTCTTTTTATTTGATGCAGTTGTCAATCCTTATTTCTTAAAATGGAAGAAACTTGTTGCATATTGCTACTTGATTTGAAAAAAAAAACAATCAAACTAATCAATATTGTTTATGTCAATACCATTTTTTCATCAAAACAAATCCCACTCTTTTCCGACTTACCAATTTAAATCACTTAACCTAGGTGTGACTTCAGTTCCAGCTCAGATTTCCGAGACACATTGAACACATCTTAAGCCCTATGCTGCTAATAGTAAAAATAAATGGATAACCATTGATATTCTGGGCCTGTTCACTATTTCAGTGGGGCTTTTATAAACCCCAAATAGGTCATAAACATTTTTAAGGAGTCGGTCAAGCGAGTGACCCCCATCACCAATCAAGCGGTTGGAGCCAAAATGGCATCCAAAGGCTTGTTGGTGCCTATATGCCTAGTTTCTGTTAATTGCAAGATGCATTGTAGTAATTATCATTGATTCATCAGCATTTTTCCGAAGAGGCCCAAAGTTATACTACAGGTTTGCAGTCTTAATGAAGGGGTTACAGGTGCAAGGCGGCATCTATTCCTATATTCAGTTGCACACCCATTCTGCTGACACACCCTCTGAGTTCAGTACATTATTATTTTGAGACTAAGATAAGGTTCACTCAGCTGTTTTACGTAGGTGGAACTTGGCAGCAGCACACTCTGGACTCCTAGACCTGAATCACAGAAACTGCTATTACAACATGTCAAGCAGGGACACTTTGAGCTTTTGAATGCCTAACATTTTTACCATCTCAGAAAGCTTAGTAAAGGTGAGGTGCAAAGGCTGACTGGGTATTTTAGCTATAACAGGAAGAGCAAGTTGTATATTTACTGTACTTGGTTTCGATCTCAATTTCTCAGAATAAAATTTCTCTGAATAATACTTGTTTTAAAAATCTTTTTTAAGACGAGAGCTTCAGATTTTGAATTGGTAAAAAAAAAAAAAAAAAAAAAGATGTGCTAATTTGTGTAAAAAAGGGATTTTTTTTTTTTTTTCCCATCAGGAAAAATGATTTATATCAAGAACGATTACGAAGCAACACTATTTTTGACAGGAGTGACTGTTTAAAAAAAATAAAAATAAAAGTCAAAATTCTTGTTTACTTTAGCATTACTGGTTAGCTTTTGTAATTACTTTTTAAACACCTCACTGACTGGATAATTTTTTAGCGTTAGCTGCGGCGCGGTGTGTTCTCTGAGCGTAAATTAATTCGGGTTTTGAATTTGACTTGCCGATCACCAGTCACATTCATTAACAACAACCATTTCCCGGGTGTTTCCCAAGAAGACACTGGCTTGTCGTAACCTTGAAAATCTGAACCATCTCTAATGTTTGTTTTATGGACATTTGATCAGCAACAGAGTGCTTTGGTAATGCTTTCTGTTCACCATTGTTTCCTGTTGGTCTTTTTAGAGTTCACTTCCTTTCTGGTCTTCGTATTTTTAGAGTAGAGCTCAAATCTCAAACGTTCTCTTTATTGTGTGAAAGGGCTGAGAACATAAAGAGCTAGATTTCATTGTAATTTGGATTAATTTGTTTTGGTACCGTAATTCTGTTTATAAGAATTCACTTCCTTTTTTTTTTTTTCTTTTTTATTAGCTTGAAGTTTTGAGCTTCAGCTAATAACACGTTAGGCCATTTTAAAAACGATACGTATTCAAAAGCTAACCTGAGTATTGTATGTAAAATAATTGTCGGTACAGCATAAATTGAACCTTCATTTCACATTCAGTTGCTTTACTAGTTATCACAAATGAACAAAGTCGAATGTTTTAAAATGGTAACCATTGGGTACTTGGTGATTCTTGGGCCAGTGCTGGTCGTAATATTGGGGATATAAAACATAGTAAACTTGGTTAATGATTAGTAAATTGATACATTTAGTTTTCCAGAACATGAAGACATAACGACAACCGGTTAATGGGATAACGAGCTTCATTTTGAAAACGTGGTTTTGTTCCTCAGCACTTTGAACTACAGTTTGATACAAGGTGCGTGAATTTCAAGGACTTTGAGCTTTTAGGTTTGGTCGTAATGCTGGTTGGTGCTTCAGTATTGGACATAAAGTATCTCAATGTAAGCTCCTGGGTTTGTTCTCCTTTATTGTTCAAAAATGTATCTTTTTTTTAAGTCTTTGCATTGGATCTCTGTTCAGATGCAGTGATCCAATGAGAAATGTTTTGACAGATGAAGTCTTTTGTAAACGCAGTCACAACATCAGACTAATTGCTCCTCTTCCTCTCCTGCTTAATGCGTTTGAAATGTCCCGAGTCACTGCTGGTGGTTTAAAGGCCTCCACACCTTCGTCTGATGGATTAGAGGTTTGAAACCTTTATCTGTGTTTGTGGTGACTTTTTCAAAAATATGTAAAAAAAAAATAAAATGCCATGGATCTTGTGGCCTGTATCTTATGACTTTCCTATTGGGAAGTAAGCAGAATATTTTTTGTGTGTTTTTAGGTTTACAGTTTAGGATCAGAAACATTTTGCTATAATTGATTCTCTGTCCCTTATGAGGTGTTTATTTTCTTTTTTTGTTTGTTTGTTTGTTTGTTGGCAAAATACGATAACTTAATTTTTAGCCGTAATCTTTAGGATCCAGAGATGGGAAAGCATATTTAGGAAGTGGAAATGTTTTTCACATATTGTATTTTTGTCCCGAGGAGAGCGTCATGTTTGTTTCCCTTTGGGAAAATTTAAGCTCTGTAGGAGAGAGAGAGAGCGAGAGAGAGAGAAAGGGGGAATTAATAAGCGTAGGAACAGATGGGCGGTCAGGAGACAGAAAATTACTCATGAAGCTCATCATGTTGATGGCAAAATAAAGGCCTTTGCCTTACTGGGCATCTGTAACCTGGTGAATGGGATTGTTGTTGAACTGGGAGGACCAGCAGCCATAACGGCTCAACCTGTTCCTGTGACCCAGTGATCTAGAAATATGGTACCTATAATCGCACTGTGTTTACATCTGTGGTGATGTTAGTGAAACGCATTAAGGGCTTGGGATTTAGATTTAGAATTGTATTATAATTGTATAATCTGACACGCCTCAGTGGTTTTAAGAGTCACTTCAGGTCACAGTTCACAAAATCTTCTGTACTTTCAACATGTGTATGACAGGTTGCTCTAGGACTTGATTGTGTTTGAAACTGGGGAAACTTTTGGTAAAAATTTTTAGCTTTTAAACATTAATTACATGGCTTATTTGGTTTAAGAGCTAATGATTTTGTAGTCATCCCCTTTTTCTTAACGCTGAATATCATGCTGGCTCATTAATTCAGTTCTGACTGAATGTCAACTAGATTATTTAAAGCACAACTTATTAATTGTTTGAATTTTGAGACTGATCTGTAGCTACTTGCTCGGTGGGTGCCGAGCAAATGGTTCTTTTAAGGATTTTGATAACGTGTCGCTAAAACGTCTAAAACACTTTGGAGATTAAATCTGACTATAGTATCATAGCAATTGGGATTCTACTGCTATTTCCGGGACTTTGGACCAACTTATGAGACGGTGCTTAAAAACTGTACTACTTGAAAATGTGTTGGTATGTTTTTTTTCCTCATACCCTCAGGTTATTGAGACAGCAACAAGGTTATTTTTGCTGTCTCTAACTCCAGTCCTTGA